CGGATCCGCAAGGGGCTGCAGCTCTACTCCTCAGAGCCCACGGAGCCCTACCTTTCCTCCCAGAACTACGGAGAGCTCTTCTCCAACCAGATCATCTGGTTTGTGGATGACACCAATGTGTACAGAGTCACCATTCACAAGGTGAGGCCAGAAGTGTGTCTCAGGGAAAGGACAGGGACTGTGATGTTTTTGGGGTGAGGGGGCGGGCGGAGGTTTCCATGCATGATGGAAAACTGGGAGTCAACACACGTTCCCAGATTTTTGCAGTGTGCACAGAGCAGCTCTTAAAAGTCCTGTACAGTTCCTGCTCAAAGCACACAGCGAGTCAGCTGTTATGTAAAGGTGTGGGCTACATTTATCTCCCTGTATTTCTCACTTCTGCTTATTTTCTCAGACTTTTGAAGGGAATCTGACCACAAAACCCATCAATGGAGCCATTTTCATCTTCAATCCCAGAACTGGACAGCTCTTCCTGAAGATCATTCACACATCTGTGTGGGCAGGACAGAAGCGTCTGGGACAGGTAGGGCCTGGCTGTGCTTTGGTGTGAGCTGGAGGTGGGCTCTGACTGCTTGGGACTAACTCAAGCAGAAAACACCATGAAGATCTTCATCTTCCTGCCTCTTAATGAGTTTGGGTCTCCAATTTCCAGTGTGTGACAAGTGCTCAGGCAGGCATGAGCATGGGATATAAAAGTGAAAGAACAAAGGCATTGCAAGGATTTGGAGGCTCTGAGGTGTAGAGACCCCACATCATCAAACAGGGCTTGAGGAACAGTGCAGTGCTCCTCGTTACACAAATCATGTTGCACTTGGCCGTACATCCAGTGCAGTGAGGAGACTCTCAGGTGGCAAATCCAGGGAGGTGGAGTAGCCAGCTGTTTTTGATGATCCAGTCAGGAGTAACTGAGCTCCAGGAATGGAAACTGCCCTCTGTGATCAGTAAGGAGGAAATGCTGGGCCTTGTCACTGGTCTGGAACAAGCCATAAATTCCAGTTGTATTTTTAGAATTTGGTTTGCATCTCTCTGATTCCCAGAGATGTGGGAGCACATGGAGACTGTGCTGTCAGCAGGGAGATATTTCTCTAACCCTGCTGTCTTTCTGTAGTTGGCCAAGTGGAAGACTGCTGAAGAAGTGGCTGCCTTGATCCGATCCCTTCCTGTGGAGGAGCAGCCGAAGCAGATCATAGTGACTCGGAAGGGCATGTTGGACCCACTCGAGGTAACAATACAGATCCTGCTCTGTGAGGATGTATAATATCTTTGGGAGGTGACAGGACACTTCTGCGTTCCTGTGATGTTCTGCAGTAGTTGTGAGCTAATTCCTCTTGATAAATTCCAGGTGCACTTGCTGGATTTCCCCAATATTGTGATCAAAGGTTCGGAGTTGCAGCTGCCCTTCCAGGCCTGTCTGAAAGTGGAAAAGTTTGGTGATCTCATCCTGAAGGCGACTGAACCCCAGATGGTTCTCTTCAATCTCTATGATGACTGGCTGAAAACCATTTCTTCCTACACGGTGAGCACAGATGTCTCTTCTGTAATTTTGCTTTGCTGCTGGTAAATGAGGCAGGAACCAAGGCTTCAATTATCCCTCATGATTTGTTGTTTGGGAGCACTTAGCTCTGAATCTGCCTGGATTTTCCTTCAGATCAATTTTGCTGGCACTTCCCATGCAATGTCTGCTTGTCCAAACAGAGGAGAGCTGTACTAGGGCCTTGTATATTTGGTTTCCTTCTGTTTAAGTGCATCTTTTTTTCATCTCCAAGGCATTCTCCCGTCTGATCCTGATTCTCCGAGCACTACACGTGAATAATGATCGAGCCAAAGTTATTCTGAAACCAGATAAGACGACCATCACTGAGCCTCACCACATCTGGCCAACCCTCACAGATGAGGAGTGGATCAAGGTGGAGGTGCAGCTGAAGGATCTCATCCTTGCTGACTATGGCAAGAAGAACAAGTAAGCCACTGTACAGCTGCAATAATCCTATCAGCCTTTCCTTCCTGCTCTTAAAACTGGGGCACCAGTACTCCTTGTGAGAAGGACCTGTGGTAATGAATCATCAGCTTTGTAGGGAAATTGGTTTTTATTAATTGCTTTCTAGTAAGGTATGCAAAAACATTTGCACCAAATGTTTTCTGATCGAAGCATCATGTGTTTTGGCCCCTTCTCTTGTTTAGAAAGTTGTGGTTTCATTTTTCGAAGCACCCTGAGTGGATGTTCTGAGCTTGTGCCTTGATGAGAAGGGTCCAGAATGTATTTTCAAGTGCCTGACTTGAGTGGATTTTCTCTTCCAGTGTGAACGTCGCATCCCTGACACAGTCAGAGATCCGAGACATTATCCTGGGCATGGAGATCTCGGCCCCATCTCAGCAGAGACAGCAGATCGCAGAAATTGAGAAGCAAACCAAGGAGCAGTCCCAGCTGACAGCCACACAGACCCGCACCGTGAACAAACACGGGGATGAAATCATCACCTCCACCACCAGCAACTACGAAACACAGACCTTCTCCTCCAAGACTGAGTGGCGGGTCAGGTAGGAAGGCAGGCAGGGCTTGGGGTGGTGGGAAGGGTCGGAGTGCTCAGGGAGGGTCAGTGCTCGGGAAGGATCTGTGCACCCTCTAATCATCACCTCCTCTTTGCAGAGCCATTTCTGCCGCCAACCTCCACCTGCGGACAAACCACATCTATGTCTCGTCAGACGACATAAAGGAGACGGGTTATACCTACATCCTTCCCAAGAACGTGTTGAAGAAGTTCATCTGCATCTCAGACCTGCGGGCCCAGGTGAGTGCTCAGCAAATCTCTTACAGTTGTGCTTCACACTGCTGGGCACACACCGGTCCTGGGCACTCAGGAACTGGTGGTGAAGGGCTGGGAACCTGCTGCTGTCCATGTGAAGCCTTCTGTGCTGGAGACAGGCACTGGCAGTACATCTGAGCAGCCAAGTTCTAGCCAGGTCCTGATGGCTCCTTGTGGCCCAAGACTGTGATGTTCTCTAATGAGAACCTGCCAGCCAGGAGATGTTCTCCTAGAGAAATAAGGAGTTCCCACTCTCACATGATTACGTGGAGATCTCTACTGGGCCTCTAAGGCATGTGTCTGTTCCTAGATTGCAGGTTACCTGTATGGAGTGAGCCCTCCAGATAACCCCCAGGTGAAGGAGATCCGGTGCATTGTGATGGTGCCCCAGTGGGGAACACACCAGACTGTGCATCTCCCAGGGCAGCTGCCACAGCACGAATATCTGAAGGTGAGTTGAGCTCCCAGGGTGGGTGGAAGGTCAATAACAGGGACCTGGCGTGGTGGGGCAGCTTCCCTTGGTCCCTTGCAGATGTGGGACTGAAAGGGCTTGGCCTGAAGCCAGCCTGAGTGGGGTCAGGTGAGGGGAAGCCTGCGGTCTCTGTGCTTTTTGCCAGGTTTGAAGTGGTCCTGTTTTGGACATCTTTGATTTCTCTCTAAACCGCTGCCTTTTTGTCAGGAAATGGAACCTCTGGGGTGGATTCACACCCAACCAAACGAGTCCCCTCAGCTCTCACCGCAGGACGTCACCACCCACGCCAAGGTCATGGCTGACAACCCCTCCTGGGATGGGGAGAAGACCATCATCATCACCTGCAGGTGAGGGACAGGGAGCTTTTCTGGTGCCCCTCTGAGGGGGGCTGTGGGTGCAGTGCTTGGGAACACGCTGAGGTCTCAAAATAAAATTTGGCAGAAAGGGAGTGTTGGCTCATCCCTGGTTTCCCTCCTCTGCCCCCAGATGAGTCTGACTTGCCCCATCCCTCCTCCCTTTCAGTTTCACACCTGGCTCCTGCACACTGACAGCCTACAAACTGACCCCGAGTGGATACGAGTGGGGTCGCCAGAACACGGACAAAGGGAACAACCCCAAGGGGTACCTGCCCTCCCACTACGAGAGGGTGCAGATGCTGCTGTCCGACCGCTTCCTCGGCTTCTTCATGGTCCCAGCACAGGGCTCCTGGAACTACAACTTCATGGGTGAGCTGCCCCGGGAAGGGGATGGGAAAAGAGGCAGCGTGAGTAGCCTGTGGAGGAGGAAATAGCTGCTCCTCAGGGAAACATTCCTTACCCACTCCAAAGCTTGACCTTCCTTGCAGCAGCTGGCAGGGATACCAGCACTGTGGTCTGACTTTTCCTTGGTGCCAGCACTGGGATGTCAGTTCTCAATGATTTTTTTGGTGGCAAGAGAACAAACTGATAGAGAGGAGAAATAGATACTGTGTCTGTCTGGATTGTAGTGTCTGGTTTGTCACCAATGAATAATTAATCCCTGTCAGGCAGAAGAGATAATGGAAAATGTAAGAGAGAAGCAGTTCCCAGTAGGGAAGTGAGGGGAAGTCCTGGCACGATGAACACCACAACCAGCTGGAGAAGGGGTCAGGAAATGAAAGTGACAGACAGAACATTCAAGTAGAGAAAGGGACTGTAGATCTCTTGGGGGGGGGTCCAAGAGGTGATAATTTTGTGGATTTAGAACTCTCCCTTCTAGCACGGCTGTGCTTAAAAAGAGATTCTGTGAGGGTAGGGAGCTTCAGGAGGATGGTGGAGGCAGGAGGGGCTCTCAGGTGGGTGACAGTCTCTCTCTTCCAGGTGTTCGCCACGACCCCAACATGAAGTACGAGCTGCAGCTCGCCAACCCCAAGGAGTTTTACCACGAGGTCCATCGCCCCTCTCACTTCCTCAACTTCGCGCTGCTGCAGGAGGGGGAGGTTTACTCGGCCGACCGCGAGGATCTCTACGCCTAATCCTGCCCGCGCCCCCACTCTTAGTACTGTTGATATTCAACAGCGTGTTTGTGTGTCCCCCGCGCACCCCACTCGCCCCCCGTAGCCCCCCCATCCTCCCCGCACCGTCCCGGGTTGTTGTACCCCACCTCCCCCGTGGCTCAATAAATTTTGTACGATCGGGAGGCGCTGCCGGTGAGATCCCGCCCCGGGGGCGGCCCCGGACGGGGCGGGCCGGGCCGGGCCGGGGCGGGCGGAGCGTGCGCGGGGCCCGGGCCATGGCGGAGCCGCTGTGGCGGACCCCGCCGGGCCGCCTGGCCCCGCCGCACGTCTATCGCATGGCGGGGGCTCTGGGCGCCGAGCTGCGCCGCCTCTCCGGCCGCTTCGGGCCCGAGGCCGTGGCCGGGCTGGTGCCGCCCGTGGTGCGGCTGCTGGAGCTGCTGGAGGCGCTGGTGGCCCCGGCGGGAGCCGAGGCGGGGGAGGCGCCGGCCGGGCCGCAGGAGGCGGAGGTGAGCGGGGCGCAGGGACCTTCCCCGGTGCCACCGACCCGCGCGTGTCCCCGCTGGAGCGTCCGTGGGGACGGCTCCGACCTGGCTGTTCCCGGGGGATGGCTCTGAGCCGGCTGTTCCACATCCCGTGGGACGGCTCCGACCCGGTTGACCCCATTCCCCGTAGGGACGGCCCTGTCCCGGCTGTCCCCTTTGCCCAGCGGTTGGCTCTGACTCGGCCGTCCCGCATCCCCTGGGACGGCTCTGACCTGGCTGTCTCTGTCTCGTGGGATGGCTCTGGCCCGGCTCTCCCACATCCCCTGGGATGGCTCCGACCTGTCTGACCCAATTGACCCCCCTGGGATGGCTCTGACCCGCTGTCCTGCTTTCTCGGAGTGGTGGCTCTGACCTGGCTGTCCCGCATCCCCTGGGACGGCTCTGACCCGGCTATGCTCCCCCCCTCCCCGTCCCCCAGGACCCGGAGCAGAGGCTGTGGGAGGCCGAGCGCCAGGAGCGAACCCTGCACGGCCGCCTGGCCTGCCTGGAGGAGCAGAACCGGCAGCTCCTGGGGCAGCTTGCGGAGAGCCAATCCCAGGAAGGTGGGTGTCTCAGCGGGTTTGGGTCCCCTGATGCCACAGGGTGTCCTTGTGGGGGATGGCAGGCTGGGTGCAGGGCTGAAGCTGCTCTCTGGAGCCTGGAGACCTGGTCTTCAGCCCTGCAGACCTGTCCTACCAGGGAGCATGAGTGTTACCTTGTTCTGCAAGGTAACACAGGGACCCCAAACCCCCAGAGCAGCCCCAAGCCCCCAGGACCAAGCTGGGACCACCCCCAGGAGGGTGGTGGAGGCAGGCATAGGGTGTGGGCTGCTTTGCCAGCACAAGGATGTGTTTGGAGTGGTCTAAAGCTCTCAGCTTCCCTCTTTCCACTGTTCCTACTCTGAGATCTACCTGGAATGTTAGTGTCTGCCAGAAACACTGAGAAACCTCGCAGTGTCGAGGGACTGAGGGAATCCATGGATCCTGGAGGCAACTCATGCCTGTGTCTGGTCTCAGATAGCACAGCACGGAAGGAGCGGGAGGTGATGCTGCGGCTGAAGGAGGTGGTGGACAAGCAGAGAGATGAACTTCGTGCCCAGGCCCACGAGATTGTTTGCAAGAGCCGAGACACGGAGGCGGTGAGGGGTGTGGGAGCTCACGGGTGTGGTGTGAAGGGCCTGGGCACCTGCTTTCATGTCACATCCCCCCAGGGCTGTCACGGCTGCTGAGCCTGCTGGGGTAGTGCCTTGCCCGGTGGCTCTGATGTCCCTGGGTGGGGACACTGCCTCACTTTTGGCTGCCCTGGGCCCTCCAGCTGCAGGAACAGCTGCATCGCTTCATGTCCATGAACGAGGACCTGCGGCACAAGGTGGCCGTGGTGCAGGCTCAGCTCAAGAGTGCTCTGGAGCAGAAGTCGGACCTGGAGGCTGCGATGCTGCAAATCCAGAAGGAAATGAGCAGGAGGAGCAGGACGGCCCAGGAGACCCAGCAGCCAGAGCCTGGCCTGGTGAGTCTGAGCCTGTGGCCTTGCTGCTGCCAGGCATCACTAACACTGACCTGACATTCCCAGCCCTGTGTGGAGCTTCTGGCACACCCAGAGCACCCAAATGCCAGCAGGACGTGGTTGTTCAAGTAACCCCACAGCTGAAAATTGAACAGTGATGCCAGTAACATCTTTTTCTGTAAAAATTGATAGAGGTGGAGCAAAGCGAGATGACAGGAGGAAAAACCAGGCGGGACTTGAAGGATGAGGAGGGTTTGCCACATGTGGTGATGGGCAGCAGGTGCTGGCCCATGGAGGGCTGCAGCAGCAAACTCATTCCTGAGACTTCCATCTCTGCCTGCACGTGGCACCCAGCCTTTGGGTGGGGGTTTCAGGGTCTCTCTTGCCTGCTGACTCTCTTTCCATCCTCCCAGGAAGGAGCCCCATCGCCCACGGAGGAGCCACAGCACCAGGAAGGGGACAGGAGCCCTGCTCAGTGCTGCTTCTCCAAGGAAGAGGTGCAGCAGATCCTGCAAGAGCGGAACGAGCTCAAGACCAACCTGTTCCTGGTGCAGGAGGAACTGGCCTATTACCAGCGGTGAGTCCTGCTGTGGTGGTGGGGGCAGTGAGCCGGGTCCCTCCCGTCCCTGCAGCCACCCATGGCCACGAGGCTGCTCGTGACTCAGCTGGGGTGGAATCTTTCCCAGGCTGTTGGTTAACCAATTGGCTGCTTTTTGCCAGGGAGCTGCTGAACGAGGAGAGAATTCCCGGCTTCTTCTTGAATGCGATGAAGTCAAATATCAAAAAACAGAGAAAAAAAATCAGAGCCAAAATGCTGGGAACGACAGAGGAGTCAGCAAGCAGGTGAGTCCAGCTGGCCGTGGCTGGCAGGAGCCTCCCGTGCAGGGTTGGTGCTGGCTGGCAGGCTCTGGTGTTTCCATGTGGTATGACACCCTGGAAGGGAACTCCCCCAGGCCCAGAGCTGCCTCCTCCCTCCAGAGATCAAAGGTTTAATGTCTTAGGTTGGTGTCTTGCTCAGGTGTAGCCCTGGGAGCACCGCAGGGCCTGAGCTCTTTGCTGCAACCCATGTGTCCCTGTCACCAGTCACACATGGCCTGGCCAAATGCCACTGTCCCTGTGTGTGTGACAAAAGGGAGGCGAGGTGGTGGCACTGGGAGCACTGGACAAGGCAGACTGGCCCCTGCACTGTATGGGTGCAGGTTTGTCCAGCTCCAGAGGGAGCCCTGGAGTGGCTCCAGCACTCACTGCTGTGGTGTGTCTGTGGCTCAGTGCAGGTTTTTTCCCCCTATTTTTCTGTCCTGCAGTGATGAAGATGAGGGCTCCTGGCTCCCAGCTCATGGCACAGACTGTGTGGATGCTCAGCCTCCTGAATCCAAAATTAGGAGCTTGTAAGTTTGCTCTTGTGCTGGGGTGCTGGTGGGGACAGACAGCTCTGCAAGTGAGGGCATTGGGGCTTAGCTGGGACCTGGCACTTGCTGAGCTTGGGTATGACGGGAAAGGAGTTGGGCTGCCCCGTGCAGGGCTGGCAGGGATGCTGCCAAAATGGGGGTCGTTGGTTTAGGGAGGATCTGCCTTGTCCTGGGCAGGGACAGGGCAAGCCTTGCTGCTGCCCCTGCTGTGCCACACACTCCCAGGGCCTGCAGCCAGGCTGTGTCCTCCTGCTGCCACCAAAGCAGAGAGAGGTTGGGATCCAGCAGCTTCCCTGGGAAGGTTCTTCTCCCCCATGGCCATTATCTGCTCTCTCTGCAGTTTTGGGCTGTGGTATCAGGGCAGCAACAAAGAGCCCCCCACATCCAGCTGCTCCGGCACCTGGGAAATCATCGACTCGCTGGACACGGAGGTGGAGCCAGAGGGAGAGAAGGAGCCGGCAGCCAGTTCCCCCAACAGAGCCACGGCACCCCTCTGACCCCACCGGAACGAGAGCTGATCTGACCTCACAGCAGCACTTCCTGACTTCTCTTCTTCTGGTGTCTTGGAGAGCAGCACGGCAGCCCTGGCCCCTTCCCTGTGCCGTGGTGATGGCGAAGCCAGAGCGTGGGCAGATTGCTGCAAACCCCCTGGGGCACTCGGGTGTGGGGTGCCAGCCTGGCATGGGACACCTCAGCACCTCTGGGCATCTCTGCCCATCAACCACCCTTTCACTGTGCCCATGACTTAACTATGGGGGGTCCTGCACAGCTGTGCCCCCCACACACACTTCTCCCTGCTTGTAGCTCGGTGTGGTGAGGGTCTCCACCACAAAAGGGCTCTTCCCCTCCACTGGTGGCATTTTCTGCCAAACCCCCCTGCTCAGAGCCCAGGATCCCATCGCCCGATCCTGCTCTGGGGGGGGGTTTCACTTCACCCCTTTCCATTCATACCTCCCCCATCCCTGCAATGTGAAGGTTGAGGTGGAGTGTCCTGGGGTCACCACACAGCTGGAAGGGGCTGAGCACACTGCACCAGGTGTCCAGGTGCTCCTGTAGCTGGGACAGCCAGGATCAGCACTGCCAGTGCCACTCCTGCACTTTTTAGGTATGGGGTGAATCAGTTTTGTACTGGGACTTCTTCCTGCTACTGCTGGGACAATCCTTGTGTTTGTGGGGGCCAATTGGTCCCCTCAGGTCAGGTACTTTATAGCTTTAAAACTGGAGTTGGAAATAAATTGATCACTTGTTTCTTCTCTGAGGTCCCCCCTGCAGCCTCTGCTCTCTCCTGGCTTGGGAAGGGGCTGGGTGGTGCTCCTGGGGTTCACTCACCATTCTCCAGTGTAACCACCATGACTGTGCTCTACCAGCCCCCCGAGCCCCCTTTGGTGGGTCAGCAGCGATGGGGAGGGGGCTCCAGGGGTGTGATGCTGCAGCTCTGGGCGTGGAGGAGTTAAATCCTGCATGGCCAGGGGAGCAGTTGTGCTTCCAGCCAGGAGTCCCCCCAGGCTGAGCCGGCCTTGAGTAGGAAAAAGGTGTTTCCTGTGCATCTGCTGACACAAAGCTCCTGGGGACATGGCGAGGTGGGACAGTGGCCAGCAGCCCTTTGAAGGCCAGCATAGGTCAAGCTGTGTTGCAGTGGGGGACATGGGGACCCCACCTTTGAGGCCCTGCCAGGGGTTGGCAGTGCCATGGGGTGGCTCATGGGGGTCGGGGCAGGGGGAGGCAGTGGATGTCCTGCTTAGGTTGGGGGGGCATTGGCTAAAACAGCTTTGGGGGTGACAGAAGGAGGCACAGGGGGAGCCAGGTGAGATGCTCAGGCAGGTACCAATGATTCAAAGAAACCTTTGAACAATCTGAAAAGCACTTTTATTACGGCCAGGGAATGCAAAGGGGCAGGTGTTTTTCCCCAGTGCACTCCGCTGAGCAAAGAAATACCATAGCTTTTCATACAGTTTGAAAGAAGCAAGTTTAAAATTATCTATACACACACTCTTTTTGCAGTCTGCCTTATCTAAATAGGCACTTAGTTTTACCTCTTATTCTTCCCATTATAGAGTAGTTACATAAAGTTTTATCATTTCAAAGAGTTTCAGGTTCCCCACCCCTCTCTACGTGCTAAAAAGCCTTCCCTATTCTCTAAGCCATTTTATATTAATTGCCCACAGTTTGGGCAGAAACTTTTAAGCAGTTTTACATTTTGCAAAGTCACACTTACATAGCTAAATAGCTAAATTTTATTTCATTTTCTATTTCACCACCCCCCCATGTGGTTGTGCCAAGCCCTTGGATGCCCATTTCTGCTGGCAGGGTGGCAGCAAGGGCCGAAAACAGCCCTTTAGTGGCATTCCCTGCTCCCCTCCCTGCCGTACTCCTGACGTCTGGATTGGGGTGACTCCTCCCGCGTTTCCTCAGGAAGAAACCCAAGGCTGGAGGGAGGAAGAGGCCGCACCACGGGAGGGACGGGACAGACGGACGCCAGCGTGGGGCTGGGGAGCCACCAGGACTTGGGCCCTGGTGGTGATGGGGAGCATCCAGCCCATCCTCTGCCTCCAGCTGTGGCTGTGGGTGCACAGCTCTGCCCAGGAGCTCGACCCCGATGGCAGGAACGTCTGCAGGTAGGTGCCATGGGGGTCCCCGCTTGTGCCCCTCCATCTCCTGGGCTTCTCAGCAGCCCCAGAGGTGTATTGTCCATCCGTCCTTCCACAGACGGAGATCTGCAGCCCGGCATCATGTGGGTGCAGAGACTGGAGTGATGCTGGGGACCGTGGTTGGGGCACTCGGGGGCACTTGGGGCACCCAGACCCCTTCTCCAGGGGTTATTTCTCATTCACCCCCAGTGCACAGGGCAATGGGGTGATACAGGACCCTTGGCAAAACTCATCGTGGGGAAACATTGGCATAGCAGACCCCAAAGGGCTTTGGGAGCTGATGTCCCCTAATTTGCTGCTGTGTTGCCTCTCCCATTGGTCTCCCATCAGCAGTGGTGCCTTTTGCTGCCTTTGTTTCAGTGCCTTATTTCTGCGTTTCTGGTGAAGCTTTGAGCCGTTCCCAGGGCACTGGGGACCCGTCACGGGCTCCATAGCGGCATTCCTGGCAGTTTGGGCAGGCCAGCCCCACCACCCACTCAGGCTGCAGGCTCCTAAATTTCCTTCTATTTTGCTGGTTTCCTTCCGGAGCGTTGTCCTTGTGGCCGCACTGCCATCCCACCGCTGGGGCGAGGGATCGCTTCGCCTTGGCTGAAGCCACAAGCAAAGCTGTCCTGGCCCCAGCACCCCCTGCCCTGGCTGACAGACCCTCTGGGTCTCTCCCACAGGTTCCCCACCGGCCTGGAGTGCTGCCCTGGCTGGAAGCAGGACGGGCGGGAGTGCACAGTGGGTGAGTGTTGGATGATGACGAAACCGGACACTCAGTCCCTGTTCTTTTCCAGGCAGCTCCTCCACAGTGCTGGGTGTTGGGGGGAAAGCCCTGCAGCTCTGCTCAAGGGACAGTGGTGGGGTGCTGTGCCATGGGGACCCCCAAATGCCCGCTGAGCAAGCTGCTGGTGGTACTGTGGGCTCAGGTGGAGGGATGGAGCGGGAAGTGGATTCCCCGGGAAGTCTGTCTCTGCAGCAGTGGGTGGCAGGTGGTCTGGCAGAGGGGTGTGAGCCTGGGGGTCCATTGTGTGCTGATGTTTCTGCCCTGCCATGACAGCACTGTGCGAGGGGAAGGACGCCTGTGGGGAGGACGAGGTTTGTGTGAAACCTGGAGTCTGCCGCTGCAAACCCGGCTTCTTCGGAGCAGACTGCAGTTCCCGTGAGTGTTCCCGCAGGGCTCAGCCAATCCCACCATCACCTTTGCCAGCCTGGATGCTCCCGGGGGCTGCAGGACTTCCCCCCATTCCTCACAGTCTCCTTCCCCCCGCAGGCTGCCCCGAGCAGTACTGGGGCCCCGACTGCAAACAGAGCTGCCCGTGCCACCCCAACGGGCGCTGCGACCCGGAGAGCGGGCACTGCACCTGCGACCCCAACCACTGGGGACAGGTCTGCCAGTTCCCCTGCCAGTGTGGCCCCCACGGCCGCTGCGACCCCCTGACGGGCGCCTGCCACTGTGAGCCGGGCTGGTGGGCACCCAACTGCAAGAAGCAATGTCAGTGCAACCTCGCCAGCTCCCACTGTGACCCTCTGACCGGCCTCTGCCGCTGCCTGCCGGGCTGGTGGGGCAGGAGGTGCAGCTTCAAGTGCTCCTGCTACCACTCTCCCTGCACCCAGGAGACGGGCAAGTGCGAGTGCAAGGCCGGGTTTTGGGGGCCGGCGTGCCAGCGGCGCTGTGACTGCGTGCACGGCTCCTGCAGCCCCGTCACCGGCCACTGCACCTGCGACCCCGGCTACCAGGGCAGGAGCTGCCGGGAGCCCTGTCCGGCGGGGAAATACGGGTCTCAGTGCGTGCACAGGTGAGCTGGGGGCAGCAGGGGGATCCAGTGAGTACCCCCGGGTGGCAGTCACACCTTGAGGGAAGTCATCACGGTAGTGTCTGTCTGGTCAGGGAGACCCATCCTGCGGGATTTAAGCATCCCTGGTTGGATGCAGCATCAGCATTGTCCCAAAAGAAACATCTCACTAATGCCAGCAGAAACCGCTGGTGCCACCCGAAAATTGCATTGTCCTTAGTCCTGCTCCCCAGGGTGATAAAACAGCATCTCCCTTGTCTCTTCCAACCAGAATATTCTGTGATTTTGCTCTCCTCCTATCCTCTTGCTACTACAGAGTGCTTGGCACTACACAGTATTTCCCTGTGGCCCAAACTGATGCTCAGTGCTGGTGTGGGGTGAAACCTGCTTTTTGAGGGGCCAGGGGTGGGTGTTGTGACTTCACTGCCCCTCTGCCCATGCAGCTGTGGGAGCTGCAAGCGCAGCCAGCCCTGCTCACCCGTGGATGGCTTCTGCCTGGCCTGCCAGCCTGGTTGGAACGGGACTCTCTGCAAGGATCCCTGTGCTCCCGGCTTCCATGGCGAGAGCTGCCTCCAGCCGTGTCCCCGCTGCCTGCGTGGGGAGCCCTGTGACCCTGAGACGGGGTCCTGCCTGCACTGTGATCCCGGCTGGACAGGACCCAGGTATGCCCAGGATGGAGTTACTGGTCCTCAGAGGGGTCTCTGCTCTGAGGTGCAGCTGGCTGATGCTTCGCTCTCTGTCTTGGCAGCTGCAACAACTCCTGCCCCACAGGCACCTTTGGCGATGGGTGCCAGCTCCTCTGCCCCGAGTGTGTTGCAGGGAGCTGTGATCCCGTGACAGGAGTTTGCATCTGCCAGGCAGGCTACTGGGGAGACAGGTAACGCCAGGATAATTCTGGGAGCAGGGCAGGGCTGGGGCCTCGCTCTCTCCAGGGGCATTTCCCTCCTTTCCTCTCTCTTCCAGCTGCAACGACACCTGTCCAGAGGGATATTTTGGAGTGAATTGTTCCGAGCCCTGCCAGTGCTCCCGCGGGACCTGTGACCCTGTAAAGGGTGACTGTGTGCTGAGTAAGAGCAACCTCAAATTTACTACTCGGCACTGGGCAAGGGAGGGTCACATCCTCACTGGAGAAGGTGCCAGGAGGCTGGGATGCAGCTTGGTCCTACCTGGTGCTTCCTGGCCCAACCATGAGTTGCCAGCTCCTGCATTCTCCATGCAGGGCAGTTCTCTGGGCTTCACAGCCACAGGGCATTCTGCACTTAACCCATGTTCTCCACACAGGTTTGAAGGACCACGGAGCCCTTGCAGCCGCCATCCTTGTCCCTCTCCTGCTGCTGCTGCTCTGCGTTGCCTGCTGTTGCTGTGGAGCCAGTCCAGCAGATGCTAGAGACAGGTATTTTTTCATATTTTGCAACCTTTGACACAAAGCCCATCTCCTGTGTCCCTTGATGTCCATCTCTGCTATGCAGGGCGGCTGTGCCGGACGACGATGTCGTGGCCAGGATGAAGCACCACGTGCAGGGGGTGCTGGCGAACCTCAGTGCTATGATGCCCTGCTTCAACCTGGGAGGCTCTAAACTCCCCAAAGTCACAGGTAAAAAAAGCAGAGCTGTCAACAGCACTTCCAGAGGGTCACCCCCACCCCGTGATCTCTGCAGTGTCAGGGAAGCTTCCAGCTCCTCTCCCAGCCCCGCCCTCAGCACCCTGGGGTGCCCAAGCTCAGCTGGGTGTCTTCTCCTTCCCAGTGTCCCACCATGACACGGAAATCCCCTTCAACCCCAGCTTTATCGAGTCGCCGTCGGCCGCGTGGGTGTCAGACAGCTCCTTCTCCT